TGACTAGATTCATGTGTTCTCATTCTGCTGCAGCTTATTTAGAAAATGGCTTAGATGATCATATCTGTATATTTCTATAGCAAAGAGGGAAGATTCTGCCTGGCCCATACTTTCTCACTATATCTATGATTGTTGACCCATTTTAATCTTAAATATGGCTGCTCAACTTGAATGTTGCTGGAATCCTGGACATTGGGATACACATAAAGGTTCCTTTGTTTAGCAGTTTGAGCTGCAGGTCTGGTGGGAGGGGCACATATAAATTAACATTGACTATGGTTTTTAGTAGAGGCTGAGGCCAGTTTTTGCTCTTGGAGAAATCAACCATTTTGTGCTTAGAGTAAAGGCATTTACTGTGAAATGCTTTTCAACAGAAAACATCTTGTGGCTGAGTCTGCCTGAAAAAGTGTGTGTGTGTGTGTGTGTGTGTGTGTGTGTGTGTGTGTGTGAGTGATTTTGGTTGGGTCTGGGTAGGGTGAAAAGTATGGTACAGTATTATTCTTGAACAAGATAGTAGGAATATACCTTAGGGTGGTCTGTGTTTCACAGATGAGGAGAGGGGATCCACTAGCCTTATTTGGGAATAAGAATTGAGAATATTTAGGATTAGGACTTGATAGGGTGTGGATGGGGCAATCTGTTGGGGTCTAAGTAGTTAAGATCTGGTATGAATGGAGGGAAAAAGGTTTAGGAGATGAAATGGTAAGATCTGGCAACTCTGTGCATGGGCATGTGACCATAGGTTGAGACATATATATATGTGTGTGTGCATTTATGTACTATATTGCTGGAGGGTATAGGTTGTAAGCTTCAAGTACAGGACATGTAAACTCAGATCCCATCTCTATTACTTATTATTGATGTAATTTCATAAATATTTTTTTTTAAACTTCTCTGAGCCCTCAGATGTTCTTTTCTTAATTTCTTGTTCTCTGCAAGGTTAATGAGTTGCCAAGAAGCTTGTACCTTCCAGAGACCAGGGACTCAGAGCCTTCTCTAAACTTCCAGTATCTTTTCATGGAGGAGCAGGGGAAAAAAGGAACCTTGGGTTCCTTCAGATGTCAAGCCTTGCCTCTGCATCAAGAGTGGAAAGGGCTCTGGATGGATAGGGGGACACTGTTGTCTTTCCCTAGCCAGTCCTATGGTTGTCAGCAAGTTACTTGCTCTTTCAGGGAGGCTCTAGTGTGAATTATATTTTGTTGAACATTAATCCTCTCCTAATAGGCAATCTATGTTTGAGACCTTTTGCTAAACACAATATTGTATTAATAGGGATATATCATTACTGGGCCATTCTGGAAAGTGCAACGAGCAATATACCAGAAGAGTGAGCTTTCCTGTTAACTAGCTACACTGGAGATTGTGTCAGCCCTTCTAAAATGGTTCTTTTTGGTTTATACCTGTTGCATATCTTTGGAGTGAAGCTAATGATATCTGTTCACTAGGTTTTTTCATGCTTTAATCTTATTAGTTACCTGTCAAGAACCTTCAGTGGCTTTCTGATCTATACCAAATTATGCTTTCTCATCCTGGCTTTTAAGTCTCTCCACAGTTTGAAGACAACATTTATAATGAATACTTGTAGAGTATTTTACAGGTTATAGATTTATCCTAAGAATGCAAGTATGGTTTAGTATTAGAAAATAAATGTGTCATTCATCATATTACAAGAATAAAGGAAAAAACCCATATGAACATCTCATTAGATACACAAATACATTTTATAAAATTTAGCATAACTTTATGACTTAAAAACTCTTAATAAAAATAGAAGGGAATTTTCTTAACCTGACGGAAAGCATTTGTAAAAATCCTGTAACAAACATACATAATGGGTGAACATTAGAAACATATTTAAAAGCAGGAATATGACAATACTATTCATTAGCATCCTTTCTGTTTGACATTGTGTAGCCATCCTAGCCCATGCAAACTTTTTTCAAAAAAGAAATGAGAGTCCTAAGAATTTGATAGGAGAAAAATCTCTAGCATTATATGCAGATAATATGACTCTTCTACATAGGACACCTAATTTAATCTATGTACAAACAGGAATAATAGGAACATTGGTAATGGCTGGATATATGATCAATTTGCAAAAATTAATGGCATTTTATAAACAATAACAGTCAGAAAATATAATTTAAAGATACATCATTTCTATTACAAAAGAGCAATAAAAATGATAAAATACTTAGGAATAAATCTAATCAAACGTGTAAGGTCTTCATACAGAAAAATCTAAAAGTTTGAGTGACAGTAAAGACGACGTAAATACATGGAGCGATATCCTATGTTCATAGATAGGAGGGTATAATATCAGAAAAATCATGGTTCTTTCCAAATTGATTTACAAGTTCAATGCAGTTTTTATCAAAATTTCATTTGAGTTTTTTTGGAATTTGACAAGGTGTCAAGATACTTCTCAAAAATAATAATAGGATTGGGGACTTTCCTTTTCAGATATTAGACCTTATTATAAAGCTACAGAAATCATGTGGTATTGGTACAGAGACAGACAAACTGACCAGTGGAATAGTTTAGTAAGTCAAGAAATTAATCTCTGTATATCTGAAACTTTAATATGTGACCTAAGGTGGCACGACAGATGCGTGGGAAAAATAAAAAGTATTAAGTACATGGAACTTACGGAGAAATTTAGATCCCTGTTTCACATCCTGACATAAATATCAGTATCAGGGCCTGGCATAGTGGCCCATGCCTGTAATAGCAGCACTTTGGAAGGCTGAAGTGAGCAGATCACTTGAGGCCAGTAGTTAGAGAGCAGCCTGACTAACATGATGAAACTCCCCATCTCTACTAAAAGTACAAAAATTAGCTGGGTGTGATGGTGCACACCTGTAATCCCAGCTACTTGAGAGGCTAAGGCACGAGAATCTCTTGAATCCAGGAGGCAGAGGTTGGCCGAGATCTGCACTCCAGGCTGGATAAGAGTGAAATTATCTCAAAAAAAGAAAAAAAAAGTCAGTTTCAGATAAAATAGGGGCTTAAATGCCAAAGCAAAAATGTTAAACCTTTAGTAGAAAATAGAAGTTAATATTTTTCTAGCTTTCTGGTAAAGAGAGACACTATAAAATAAATTATGATTATGGAATTTCTCATCTTTTGAGGAAAATTTTCTCTTGGCTGGTTGCTTCCCCTCTCTGATCACATTTTCTGGCTGGAGGTTTTCTGTACCTGCTTAAACACACAACTCTAAGCATCCTCCTTTGCGCCTATCTTCCTCTGTTCAGCTAACTTCCTTGTATGCAGAATCCAAACAGTTCCAAAGTTCAGATACCCATGGCTTACATTTGTATGATGAACTGACCGTGGGGAAGAGAGCCAAAAAGGGAGTCTGTAATGGTCAGACAAGCTGTGGGACTGCCACGCTGGTTGTATTGGAATGTTCTAATAGTTATGAATCCCAGTGTGAGATCTATAGTGATTCTCAGGCCTCCAAAATGTACTCTGAATCAAAGAGGCCTCTTTCTCTAGCCAGTTTGCAAAGTTAAGTGGTGGCATGGATAGAGGCTCACTAGGGAAAATCAAAGGAGAGTACCCTGATTGTCCTAAAGTTGGAGTGAACTATGGGTCACCAAATCTACACAAGTGGAGAAGGTTCTGTTTTCCTAGTAGCAAACCAGAGCTTAGCCTGGTTCAGACAGATAATGCCAAGGTCTCACGCTTGACCTGGGAGCTGAATAGTTTCACCAATTTGGGGAGAAAGACCTTTCCTTGTTCATTCTTTTGATTCCTTCTTTCCACTTTCCATAAAGTTGAAAGATGTTGCTCAGGAGTAGTTGGGTAACTAGCTGGAACCCCGCAGGGATTTGAGTATTTTGTCTCTCTCTTTCATTTTTTTCAAGAGACAGAGCCTTGTGCTGTTGCGGGGTGCAACAGCATGAAACTCCTGGGCTTAAGCAGTCCTCCTACTTCGGCCTCCGGAGTAGCTGGGACTACAGGCAAGAGACACCATACCCTGGACTCTTGATTTTAGTACAGAAGGCCTTGAGACAATGGTTGACTCTTGCTAGTTACTACTTACTCAGCCTACACAGATAGCCTTTCCTTCATAATGCTTATAATCCTTTGTCTTTCTATGGGATTGCAGATTCCCATAAGCTTTTGCTGTTGTTCCACTGCTTCCTGGAATGTAGCCAATGTGATTTTTCTAAAGCACAGATTTGTTTACCTGCTTTCTGCCCTACTTCTCTGTTTAAAACCCTTTGATGGCTTGTCATTATTTCAGAAAGAAATCCAAACTTCTTAGCTCTGCTTATGTGACACTTACAAGACTGCTCAGTCTTCTAGTTTTTTCTCTTGATATTCTTTCTTGTGCTCTCCTTTAGTTTTACTGAACTACCAGTGCTTTGAACACACTTTGCTCTTTTTCTCCTCCAGGTCCTTGTGCATATTGTTTCCTCTGCCTGGAATACTATTCTTCTTTCTCTTTACCTGGCTCGATTTCTGCTTTTTCCTCAGGTCTCAGATTCTAGGAAGCTTTCCATAGCTGGACCGAGTTGGCCATCCCCTGTGCTTCTGTAAATCCTATTTAAATATTTACCTGGCATTCTCCCCTACTGAACTCTAAGCTTTGTGAGGGCAGTGATGGTGGCTTTGTTTATTGTTTTGTTTCCCTTGAATCTAAATGCAGTGCCTGGCACATAGTAGCCTCCAGTAAATGCTTGTTGAATGAACAAACAACCCTGTGAAGTGAGTGATAGAGTACTTAGTCCCCTTCAATTTTCAGGATGGAGAGATGGAGAATAAGGACGTCATACAAAATCACACAGTACTTGGTGGAAGAAGCTGAGCTATGACCTGCATTGGAAGATCTGAAGAAATTCCCAGTACATTGTCTTTCCTACTGGGTCTGTGTGAGAACAGGCTGACAGATGCCTCTGGTGGGTGGGTAAATGCATGGGCTTTTGGCAGTTGAATGAATGGGTTTACCAATGTGTGATTCTCTTTCCCTCCCTCTTCCTTCCTGTTCACAGCATCAAGCTGAGCCCCCAGACTCTGATGCAGGCTGGGGATGATGAGAAGAACCAGAGGACGATCACTGTCAACCCCGCCCACATGGGGAAAGCATTCAAGGTTATGAATGAACTGCGGAGGTACTTTTTCTATCTTGTCTCTGCCCTTTCAGAAGGAACTTGTCCATGAGCTTCATTGAGGATTTAGAACAGAAGTCAGAACACGACCACCTAGGGAATTCTGACTCTTCCCACCCACTCTCAGTCACTTGGTTTTCCCTTTCAAAGTCTGGTTGAGACAGAATGGCTTTGCCAGAAAACTGTCTTTCCTTTGTATGTATTTAACACCTATCATTTTAATGATTAATCACAGGGGAAAAATCCTTTATGGTTACAGCAAGTCTGTTCATAAACTTGATTTCCAACAGAACGAGCTGCTTGAAAACCAATAATAGAATGATTGCAACACCCACACACAATTGCAGATTAAAGACTGTGGTGGATGTCACGTATTTTCTTCTGGTTTCACTCTCCCTTTCACTGGTCTAAACTTAGGTTGGCAAGACAACCACATGAATGGAAGAATACCTGGCTCCTTAAATGTAAAGAGAGAAATGAAATGTGAATATACTCATCGTCTCTGAGCTAATAGTGAGGGCTATGCATGCTATTTGTAAGGCCAACGTGCATGTTTGACAAGCTTGTTGCAAGGCAGCTTCAGGGCTCTGAACATGTGTTTCTGTACATGTTTTTCTACACAAAGCCTGAGCACACACTCTCTTCCTTACCAGAGAGCTCAGAAGCTTCCTTTGCCCATGCCTTTATTTACTGCATACTTCATCCTGTTGTGAGATGTAATTGTTGATTTCACCTTTTCTCTGTAGTTCATGAGCTCTTTGAGGGCAGAGGCAACTTTTGAGTAATTTTTATCTCTAACACCTGGCACTTCATAGGAGCTTTTTCTATTCATTCACCAAAGATGCCCAGAGGCACGGGGTGAGCCCTGGAGTGGGTCAATGGGGTACAAATTAAAAAATATAAATAGGTCAATGAAAATAATCTTTCTATAGTAGAAATAGGTATCATGATGGAGGAGTGCATCCAGTGCCTGACAGGTGGTAGGTATGCGGTAATCATTTGTTTCTTAAAGAGGGCTACAGAAGCAAGCATGACAGGTGGGAACTTTCGAGAAGAGAGTTGATGCTTGAACTGAATTTTGAAGGACAAATAAGAGTTAGAGAAAAGAGTAGTGGGGATAGGGAGAAGCCTTCCAGGCAGAGAAAATGGCACATAGCCAAAGAAGTGTGTGTTGAGTGTGGAGTTGAACTACTTTTAAACAAAATTCTATCTGATTCTATGTTTGCTTTCTTATTTCTCCTTTCTACAGGGCCCAGTCTCTGGCATTAATAACCAAGTTAAATTAAATTTGTCTTATGCTCCACTGCCCAATTTTTATTAGGCCTCCTGCCAGATTTCCTGGAAGCTCTGCCCATAGCTGTCTTAGGCTTTGGGCGGTACTGAGGTCCATGCTTGTGGGCTTGATTCTCTTGTTACAGAAGAATTTTTCTTGTGTTCCCTAGACACTATTGAAATTCCTCATTTAGTTCTTTTGAGTATGGCTTGTGTCCTCTGTATGATTCAAGAGTCTTTCACCAGGCCTTGTTTTGCCTGATATAGTCAACTCTAGTGATGCTGAAAGGGAGAACTTAGGAAATAGATGTGCACACAAGATTCCCTGAACCTCTACTTTCTATTATTACTAGCGTCTCTTCTCCTCTCCTCTCCTCTCCTCTCCTCTCCTCTCCTCTCCTCTCCTCTCCTCCTCTCCCCTCTCCTCCTCCCCTTCTCTCCTCCTCCTCCTCTCTCTCTCTCTCTCTCTCTCTCTCTCTCTCTCTCTGAGACAGAGTATCAGTCTGTCACTTAGGCTGGAGTGGAATGGCACAGTCATAGCTCACTCTGATCTTGAACACCTGAGCTCAAGCAAGCCTTCCGCCGTAGCCTCCCAAAATGTTGGGCTTATGGGCACGAGCCACTGTGCCCAGCCCCCTTTTTCTTAACTAATTTTTTAAAAAGACATCCTAAGCTCTATTACTTCTGTTACAAGTTACTAGTTTTTTCTCTTTCCCCAGAAGCATTGACTTAGATTTAACCTTCTCCAACAGTCCTATTTCTTCTTCTCTTTTGTATAATTCAGCATTTGCCAAACTCTGTTCTGAGGAATGCTAGTTCCATTAAGATGCTCTGTCAGAAAAAAGAGCTCTGTGCCCCAATGAGTTTGAAGAATGCTGTATACTGTACCCCTCTCTGAGGCTCATAATGTATACTGGCATATTAAAAAAAAAAACCAAGGGTTTTCCACATGTATTTGACTGTAGAGCCTTCTTTGATGGTTATTGTATATAGAGTAGGTGTTTTGTGAAACTTGTTTTGGGAAACACTGTTCTAATACCAGACATTGTCCTTTGCTGAAATTTAAGTGTATAATCTTATTTTCCCTCTTTTTGTTGTTTCAAGTGGACCATGATCTGTATATATTTGGCTGGCTCGGAAAATTTTAATTCAGGTTTAGGCATAGATTTTCCTTTTAATTTTTCTTTTGTAAAAGAAATATATTTATTATAGAACATTTAGAATATACAGATGAGCAACAAGTCATGTATAATTTTAGTACATAGTGGTAATCATTGTAAAACTTTGGACAATATACCTCTCTTCTTTAGAATATATGTCTCATTGCAAAAGACATTGTGGCACAAAAGTCTCTATATTCCTTAGTTTAAATCATTTTAGCAAATGTTTATTTATTTATACCTATGTATATATTTTTTTGAGTTGGCGTTTTGCTCATTGACCAGGCTGCAGTACAATGGTGCAATCTCGGCTCACTGCAACCTCCACCTCCTGGGTTCAAGCAATTCCTCTGCCTCAGCCTCCCGAATAGCTGGGATTACAGGCACTGTAACCACACCCAGCTAATTTTTGTATTTTTAATAGAGACGAGTTTTTACCATGTTGGCCAGGCTGGTCTTGAACTCCTGACCTCAGATGATCTGCCCCTGTTGGCCCCCCAAAGTGCTGGGATTACAGGCATGAGCCACCACGCCCAGCCAAATGTTTATGTTTTATATAGCTAATGGCCACAAGTCTGTAGCTAAGACCAAGATTACAGTAGCTCAATGTATAGAACTTACAGAGAAGTCAATTTTGTAACTTTGCATTTTGGCTTTGATTCTTGGCTATGTTGCTTAAAAGATTTTATGGGTTGATGGGTACCATAAAATCTTTTGCCTGCCCACCTCCATTCCTATCCGATAGGAATGTTTAAATTGGATGCAAGTCTTTTGGCTCTAAGTCGATGTCCATAAGGGTCCCACCAAGGGACAGGACGGACAGGGGCAGGCAGGCACACTACCCTGGCAAAGATACAGGACAAAATAAAAGTTTGGCCATCGATGCTGCCCCTGGCAGATCTTGTCCAACAGGGTGAGAATGTAAACTAAAAATAAAATTCTAAGTCCCCCAGTGGACTGAACAGGCCATCTGTTGGCCAAGGAGACCCCTGATTAACTTTGAAAATGGAGTTCTCAGCCATGATGGGATGGGAGGGGTGAGACTCCCTCCCTTGGTAACCATGATTAAGCTTTCTTCCCCTAGGTTCTAACAAAAGCCAGCTCTTTCAAAAGACTCCACCACAGATATCAACAAACTGTCTGACACTGCCCTTCCGTTTTTGCCTGATAAGAGACCACCGACCATAGGAGTGATTCTGGCTAGTCTTTCGAGGATGCGCAGTAAGGGGTTTCACGGCCTCTGTTTCACCTTTTGACGTCAGAGGACTGAAAACTCCACCCTCTGATTACCTCAATTTTTGAATTTGGAGAGCAAGAACTTCAATTGCATATGTGCACGTTTCTCTTTCATAAATATACATGACTTCTTCTATAGCTTATTGAATATGTACATTTGGCCACCTTGATTAGCATAAATTCCTGTTTCCTTTGCCCCTCTCTCAAAGTATCTGTTTCTGGCTTCTGGCTGAAAGCCGTGCTTCCTAGCCTGTCAGAATAGCCACACTGCAGATCGTAACCTTTATAAGAAATAAAGTTTTCTCTTCTTTTAAACAAACAAACAAACAAACAAACAAATACCTTAGTTGGACATGGGAGTTTGTGACTGTAATCCCAGCTTTGCAGGAGGATTACTTGAGCCCAGAAATTTGAGGCCAGCCTGGGCAACATAGTGAGAACCATCTCATTAAAAACAAAAAAGAAATTTATGTCTCAACCTAACTTAAAACAATATTGAACAAATTTTTCTATGTCACGAACTGTTCTACAATATAAAGTGGATCAATGATATTCTATTTTTGATTTATTTTTTAAAAAGAGTTCCCTGTTGTCGGATGTCTAGGTTTTCCCAATTCCTCATATAAATAACCCCCTGCTATGGTTATCTCTGTAGTCGTGTAACACAGCAGTTACAAATATAGATTCTGGTTTCAAATCTTGGCTCTAGTACTTATTGTGTGACCATGGGCAAGTTAATTAATCTCCCAGATCTCACTTTTGTCAACCGTGAAATGAGGCTAATAAGAGTACCAGTCTTGCTGGCTTGTTAAGAAGATTAAGGAATAAAGTGCTTAAAACAGTGACAGCACATATATTACCGCTGTTGAATACTTGTGCACATTCATGATTATTTGTGTAAAAGTAATTTCTACAAGTAGAATTGCTGATTTGAACAGACTGTAGAATAATAATAGTAACTATTCCTTAGATATTGTGAGATCCTGGCACATAGTATTCTATAAGCATTAGCTATGATGATGATGATGATGATGTGCTAAACACTGTGCTAGGTTCAGGAATATGGCAGGAGATAAAAGGACCAAAGTCTTGCCCTTAATGAAGCTTGTATTTGCATGTTATTGAACGGCTACATCAAATTCCAGGGTATTTAAATGGCTAACTTCTAAAAACTAAATTGGAAAGGTGAGGCAGGGAGGAAGGGGGCCTGCATTGATATTTTATTGATCTGAGTGAGTTTAATGGGAACTAGAGAGAGGCTGGGTGTACTTACGGAGGCCTGAGCTAAAGCATCTAGCTATCCAGGGGTTAAGCTAATGAAATGTTACATGATAT